AAGGCAGGAGAATCACTGGGAGTTCAAGGCCAGCCAGTTCTACAAACTGGGTTGAAGCTCAGCCTGAGTTTTGCAGCAAAACCTTGTCTCAAAAAAAAAAAAAAAAAAAAAAAATCAAATAAGACCCACACATTATTTTAGCTGATATGCCTCAATATACAATAGCTACTCCATTCCTTTTTTTTTTATAAAAATGTTCTTAGTATGCTAAAGAAACTAAATTACTTTTTCTACAGAACCAATCTCTTCCCCCCCACCCCAGAACATTTATTAGGTGGAGTATGGGGAAGAGAAAACCCCTGAAACAATTGTCCACCCAGTTCACGACACTTGAAATAGAGGACCCTGTGCTTAAAGACAGGCTTACATCACAGTGGAGATAGATCTTTGATTTTTAAAGGGTAGCTTATCAGTTTATTTCTTCTGAGGCCTAGTTCAGATTATGTTTTAAATGACTGGCTAAAGTATGGCAGTCTCTAGAAACAGGAGCAGGTACAAAAGCCCAGGCTCTGTGAGGATGAACATGAGCCCAGATTCTTGCTGGGCAGGTGATCATTTTTGCTATTCCCAGATCAAGAACTGGTGGAACATGGACCATGACAAATAATAAAAGGTTCAGTTTCTCAAAATAAATAATAAATAATAAATAAAATAAAATATATACATTATATATATATATATTATAAAAGGTATAAAGTAGTTAGAAAGGAAACTCAAATAATGGTTTATAAGAACTTCTCGTATTTTTAATTTAGTCTTTATAGTCAGTGAAATAAACTTCTTCATCATCATCTTCTTCTTTTTTTTATAGAGTCAGTGAAATAAACTTCTTCTTCTTCATCTTCTTCTTCTTCTTCTTCTTTTTTTTGAAGAGCCAGGGATTGAACTCAGGCCCTTGCGCTTGTTCAAATGAGCTATCTCCTTGGTCTCTCATCTTCTTTAAATCCTGTAAAATACTACAGGCTTCACTAGGCTAGGGCTCACCTTTCTTCAAAGCTGTTCCAAGAATGTTTAGGTGGTAGTACCCAACCTATACTGCATTGTCAGGAGGCTTTTACTATTCAGTTGTTTTCTAGTAGCATTATAGAAACAGTGTTTCTACATTCTCGTATGATCTTAATTTCTAAAAGTATCCAACACTTTATATCAACAGAACTATGTAGGTGATGATCAAGTTACCATGTTAATCAAGAGCTGATGAGGGACAGCAAGTTATCACTCATCAACCAGGGAAACACAACAGAAACATCCTGTGGGGTACAAGAGAAGTCAAAAATCTGCCTAGAGATAGGCAGATCAAAGAATAAATGCAGTATGCTATTTAGTGAACAAGACCTTAGGCAGCTATTATAATTCTGAAAGACACTTTACATACCAGCATCAGTAAGTGTTTCTAAACAAACTAAGAAAATTCAAGAGTTCTTAATTTTTTAACATTACTTCACCAAAACTGCCTTATAAATCTAACTTTACTTCTTAAGAGAATGGTACTGGACTCTAAGCCAAAAGTTCCAAATCTTGGTTGTAAAACTGAAAAACTTTTATCATACTGAGATCTTTTATCATACTTGATCTCACCCAATCAATTCTAATTCAGTGGATCTATAATGGGAACCACATATATAACATTTTTTAAAACTCAGAAGACTGCTACAATTAAGCAGCACTGCTTTTGAACAAGAGTAATGATAACTATTATTTACTAAATACACATTACATGTCTGGTATAATTTTGATGTACTGGTTTCATTTCCTATTTTATAAATGAAAAAGAAAGAATTATATAATTCTTTATGACTATTTTTAGAATATATTCTAATTTTTTTTTGCTATGTGTAGCTCTTTTTCTATACTATCTTATTTATTTTTTCAAAGTTTTATTGATAAACAGATACCAATGAGACAGTTTCAAATCAAATCGGAAGCACAGTTTCAACAAATAATACACTGCATATATTCTTCTTAGTGGTTAATTGCTGTACAAGATGCGGACTTGTGTTCCTATTTACAAACACCATTAGAACAAATCATTCTATTCATTAAGAGAATGCAACTATATATCTATCCCAACCACTTTGAATACACAGATACAAAATGGACATTCACCGGTATACCCCATTTTTTCTAAGTTCCGTTATTGAATATTATAGGTGTGTAAACTCAGCAAAATATTCTAAAAGAGTCCAGTAGCCCATAATAGCATTGGGTCTTCTGTTTAACTGGAAATGTCAGAAATTATTGACCTGAGTCCCCCACAGCTCAACATAACAGCATGGCTTTATTTCCTATATTTCGTCTTCGCAGGACCTGTGCAACAAGAGTTGTAGCTTTTGGGTCTGAGAAGGTCAGTGAGATGCCCTCAGGATTTATCCTGAGATCCTGTACCTCAGATTGTAGAACCTTTGTCAGTGCAGCCATGTGGATGAGTCACGGCCAATGCTTGGCCAATGTGCTCTCTGTGAAAGCCTGAGAGAGTGTCTTCTCCCCATGTGACTCTCCTTAGGCACACTCTACATCATCGATCACTTTCCTCTTTGGCCCCATAATCTTCTTGATCAGAAAATTTGGGACACTACTGAGGTACATGACGTTACAGTACAAGTTCTCATATGTCCTGAGTCTTAATTGATCTTAGAAGGCTAGGGCCAAAATGTTGGCTTTCCTTGTATCCCTCCTTTTTCTCTAATTTTGGTCTGCAAACTTAGGTTGTTAACCATCCAGAAGATAAGCTTATTGTTATCAAATGATTTAGGCTATCAAGCTTAACCTCACTATCTCACTGCATTTCAAACATCTTAGGCATTATTCTAATTTTTTAATGTTTTTTTATCATATGCTATAGGGACTTAAAGTTCAACATATCAATACTTGATGAAAAATACCTGTTCCATGTTATGCCTAAGATGTTTGATATTCAGACAGATAGCGAGCTTAAGCTTAACAGCCTAGGTTGTATGGTAATAACAATAAGCACCTCTTCTGGAGGGTTAACAACCTAAGTTTGCAGACCACAATTAGAGAAAAAGGAGGGCCTCCAGGAAAGCCAACATTTTGGCCCTAGCCTTCCAAGGTCAAGTCAGACTCAGGACATATGAAAACTTGCACTGTTACGTCATGTAACTCAGTAGTGTCCCAAATTTTCTGATCAAGGAGATTATGGGGCCAAAGAGGAAAGTGATCGATGATATACAGTGTGCCTAAGGAGAGTCACATGGAGAGAAAACATTCTCTCAGGATTTCACAGAGAGAACAATGGCCAAGCAATGGCTGTGACTCATCCACATGGCTGACACTGACAAAGGATCTACAATCTGAGGTACAGGATCTCAGGATAAATCCTGAGGGCATCTCACTGACCTTCTCAGACCCAAAAGCTACAACTCTTGTTGCATAGGTCCTACTTTACCTTGGTCTTAACCATCCAGCAGAAAAGTATAAAAATGAAGTATAAGAAGTAAAGCCATGGTGTTATGTTGAGCTGTAGGGGACTCAGGTCAACAATTTCTGGCATTGCCAGTGAAGCGGAAGACCCAATACTATTATGGATTACTGGACTCTTTTAGAATATTTTGCTGAGTTAACATACCTATAATATTCAAATAACGGAACTAAACAAAAAAGGGGGATACAGATGAATGTCCATTTTGTATCTGTATATTCAAAATGGTTAGGATAGATATAAAGTTACATTCTCTTAATGAATAGAGGGATTTGTTGTAATGGTGTTTGTAAATAGGATATCACGTCCACATCTTATACAGCAATTAACCACTAGGAAGAATGTATGCAATGTGTTAATTATTGAAACTGTCCTATAAATTTGGTTTGAAACTGTCTCATAGCTGTTTCTCAATAAAATTATGGAAAAAAATATTTAAATGACAAAACTAAACAAAAAAGGGGATACAAATTAACGACCATCTTGTATCTGTATATTCAAAATAGGACAGATATACAGCTACATTCTCTTAACTCAATAAGTAGAAAGATTTGTTCTAATAATGTTTGTAATGAAGATATCATGTCTGCATCTTGTATAATGAATAACCACTGAGACAAGAATATGCAATGCATTAATTATTGAAACTGTCCTACTAATCAGATTTGAAACTGTCGCATTGCTATTTGTTTCTCAATAAAATCATGGAAAAAAATAAAAATAATAAAAAAACAGAAAGGTCAAGTCAACTGCCCAAGGTCTCAGTCTATTAAAAGCAGAGTACAGCCTTCATCTCAGGCAGTTCAGATCCAAAAGCCATGTTCCAGCTACACTGCCTCCTAAGCATGAATTATGCTTCTATTTCCTACTATAAGTAAAATGATCAATGGAAAACATAAAAAAGATAATTTCTTCCTTCTTTGAAATAGTACAGTAGCACCTTGTGCAAAGGCAGCAATGTAGACTTGCTTTAGAAAAATAAATGGCCAAGAACCTTCCTTTCCCAAAAGATTCAAATTCAAAAAGATTTCTATCCATTTTCAATAGTTTCTCACATATCACTTCATCTAGTGGTTTTTCAATGTTAAATATGAAACTGCATTGGTTTTACAACTCAAACCAACAACATACTACATATAAATTCCTAAGAAATTGCTGTACCTATTTCTGTTCTGCCAAGTCCAATTCCATTGTAGATTCTCAAGTAACTGAAGTGACAAGAATCAGAATCTTCAATGTCAACGTCACCCAACTTGACATGAATTCGCTCTCCCATCTTGACACGGATCTCCCATTTGCAAACAGTGCTGTTGGGGCAGGTCTGCGGATAGTTTATGGATGCAAGAGTTCCACTTTCAGGACCTAGTACAGTGTGTCCACATCCATCACCTTTAAAAAAAAAAAAAGGGTGGAGTGAAAAACTTTTTATATCTTAAACTTATGAATAATCATAATACACACTTAGTACATATATTTTTATGGTGATTTAAAAACATGTAAGACATCTAATACTTTATACCACCAGTATTATATTTACAGGAAATAAAACAAAAGACAGCTCTTAACATATCTACTCACAACCAAGTAAAAAAATCAAGTCAGGTTCAAATAATGATTAGTCATATAATCTATAAATTCAAAGCACTTTGCAATCTGAACAAGTAAAAATAAACACAACTTTGCAAATAGTTGAAAACACATATATGCATCATAATGAGTCTAATATTTAAAAGACTATCAATGTAAAATAACTATTCAAAATAAATGCAAAACAAAAAATATGTGAGCAGCTTCATCTATTTATTTACAATCACAAGCTCCTAAAATCGCTGAAAGCAGGATTACTTTTTTTAAAACATTTAATATATATTAAAGATTATGCACATAACCAATCCTATTATAGACTAATAATTGTTCCTCTTGAAAGTAGTTGATTTTGAAGTTAATAAATTTACATTCTACTGAAATTTGGCTACTTTGTAGTTCCTTCTCCAAAGATTTATTTTTCCCTATAGAAGGAAGAGAAAATAATTAACAGCTCAATAGCTTATTCAAGATTAGGAAAAAATTCATTGCTATTTTTGTCTCAATAAAATTATGGGGAAAAAAAGATTAGGAAAAAAATACTTTAAGTGATTGTAATGGCATTATTTGCTTGAGATGTTTTTTTAGCAACTGAATATAAAAACTTAGATAAATTAGCTTGTTTGTAAAGATGAAATATTTACATATGCAGGAGGCATTAAGTGTACATTTCCAAGTTTCAGTGGCATCTCCAATTGTATTATTTATTTATATTTTATTTTATTATGAAGAGTAAAAACAGAAGCAAAAACAAGTAGAAAAAAGACAGAAACAGAGTAACATACAACAATGTAATGGCCCTCAGACCCAGCCCAAGCCCAGCATGTGAGTGAGACCTTCAGCCATGCTCACAGGACCCCGCTGAACCACTCCAGAACCAGCCCAGGCCCAGCCTGTGAGTGAGAACTTCCACTGCGTTCTCAGGATCCCTCCAGATTAAGCCCAAGTCCATGCCCGACCTGTGCGTGGGAGAGCTTCTGCGTTCTGCTTTGCTTGCTGGATTCCTCTAGACCCAGCCCAGGACCTACTTGTGAGTGAGTTCTGTCCTGCTCTCTGGACCTCTCCAGACCCAGCCCAGGCCTGGCATACAAGCCTGGGGTGAAACTTTGCAACTGAAGTCCCTGCAGAGAGGTTAGGGAATAGAACCAACCAGCTAAACTACGAGCAGAACATCTTGCCAGAGGGGCACAACAGATTCACTTTCAAGGACTGCAAGAGGAAGAATCTAAGAAAAGCAGCCAGACCCGAGCCAGGCACAACTGGATGAATTCAAACTTTGCAGATCTACACCCGAATTTCAGTAGGTGCTAAAGTTATAACAGCACCAAAATTCTACACCAAAGGTCAGAGGACAGTGCTATAAAAAATGACAAAGCAAAGGAGAAAAATGCAATTTCAGGCCCTGAATCACCCAGAACAAATGCAGAAGACACTAGCACAGAAGAAACTGGGAATCACACAGCTGAAATGTCTGAATTAATAGTGTCTAAAGTAAAGACACAACTGCAGAAAAGTACAGAGGAACTCAGATCAGAAATAACTTTTGAAAAAAAAAGCAATCTCTGAATTAATAGTGTCTGAAGTAAATGATCAACAGCAGAAACATACAGAGGAAGTCAGATCAGAAATAATCTCTGAAGTAAAAAAAAGAAGGGATAAGTATAATGAAATAATTAATAACTGCTTCTCAAGAAGACACTGATAAAAAAAAATAAAGGAGATTAGAAAACCCATGGAATCCCTGAATGAGCAATATAGGAAAGAAATAGATAGCATGAAGTAGAGTCAAAGAGATATAGAAGAATGTAAAATCTCAATCACAAGCTTGCAAAACCATTTGAGAGAAAGTGAAGACATAGTATCAGATCTTGACCACTGCAGCTGGTGAAAAGGTAAAAGATCTCTTAAAAGCAACTAGGATGCAAGAAAAAATACTTCATCACCTGCAAGACCAACCAAAGATGAACAACATGAGACTAAGAGGCATCAATGAGAAAGGGGTCAATACAAATGACATAAACAGAATACAGGCAGAAGTAATAGCAGAAAACTTCCCAAATATGAGGAAATAATCTGACATTCATGTAATGTAAATATACAGAACTCCAAATAACATCAACCCAATTAAAAACACACCCAGACATGTAACAGTCAAGATCCCAGAAACACAGCACAAGAACAATATACTAAAAGCTGCTAGAGAAAAGAAACAGATCACATTTAAAGAAAAATCCATCAGAATAATGGCAGACTTCACAAACCATGAAGTCAAGAAGAGCATGGAGTAGAGTACTTCAAGTACTATGAAAACAAATTCCAGCCCAGACTACTATACTCTGTAAAACTCTCTTTCAAGTTTGATGGAGAAGTGAAATACTTCCATGACAAAGAACAACTAAAGAATTTCATGACCACAAAGCCAACGCTACACAGACTACGAAAAGATATTCTAGAGGGGGATCAAAATGATCAGAACTCCACGAATAAGAATGGAAGGAAACCACCAAATACGGCAAACAAACATAGGAGAAAAAGGAATAAACAACAGCAGGTAAATAAAATGTGAATCCTAAGTCAATACATCTCAATTATAACCATCAATGTAAATGGGCTCAATTCACCTATTAAAAGAAACAGACTGGCACAGTAGATAAGAAAGCAAAATCCAACAATGTACTGTATACAAGAAACACACTGAACTCATAAATTCATAGGTTGAAAGTTAAAGGATGGAAAACAATACTACATGCGCCAACACATCAGAAAAAAGTAGGAGTAGCAATCCTGTTCTTGGACAGTCTCAAATTCAAACCAAGAATGATCAAAGGAAATAAAGAAGGTCATTATATACTGGTTAGGGGAAAAATTCAAGAGGAAGAGGTAACATAAATATGTATACACCAAACACAGGAGCACCCAACTATATAAGACAAATCTTAATGGACATGAAACATCTAATATCCAATACCACAATCTTAACAGGAGTCCTTAACACACCCTTATTGCAAAAAGATAGGTCAAGCAGACAAAAAAATTAGCAAAGAAGTAACAGAATTGAACCAGAGCTTGGAACAAATGGACTTAGTGGACATATACAGAGCGTTCCACCCAAACACAGCTGAATACAAATTTTTCTCAGCTGCACATGGGTCATTTTCTAAAACAGACCACACACTAGTCCATAAGTCATACTTAAGTATATGCAAGAAAACAGAAATTGTCGCATGCATATTCTGACTATAGTGCAATGAAACTGGAAATAATCGACAAAAGAAACAAGAAAAACCCCATAAATACATGGACATTAACACCCTTCTTGGCAACAAATGGGTTACAGATGAAGTTAAACAAGAAATTGAACAATATCAACAATTCAAAAAAAATTAAGGTACAATTTATCAGAATTTATGGGATGCAACAAAAACAGTTCTTAGAGGGAAATTTATAGATGTGAACTCACACATTAGGAAAACAGAATGGGAACAAATAAATACCCTAATGCTGCAACTCAACTATCTAGCAAAGGAAGAGCAAACCAAACCCAAAGCTCAAAGATGGGAAGAATTCAT